GCCGAGGGGCCGGGAGAGAGCGGCACCGCCCGAGGAGAGCAGCGGCCCACGAAAGCGACACGATCCCAGGAGGCCTGGGAGGACTGGTCAGAACGTCTGCTCGGGCCCCATCTGGGAGGCCTGGACTAACGCTGCCCCTGACCCCAGGAGGCCCGTGGAGGTCTGGTCAGGACGTCTGCTCGGACGCCATCTGGGAGGCCTGGACTAACGCTGCCCTGGACCCCAGGAGGCTCAGTGGAGCTCTCCAAGGGTGTGTCCCATGAGACCACCAGGATCGGTCGAGCGTCGCAGCGCCGAATTCAGAGAAAATATAAGCTGGAAGTCCGCCGAGATGCAGCGCAAACGCCAGGAAACCTAGAACCTCGAACCCGAAGCCTCTCCCCCCCCGGAGCATCTCCCCCTGACAGTGCCCACGACCCTGGCTGGGACAATCAGGACCGGTCAAGCGCCGCAGCCCCGACTTCGGAGAGAAGAGAGGCGCAGGGTCCAGCAATGCGGCGGCGGGGCGCGCCCGAATACGCCCACCTTCGACACGCACCTGAAGCCTGCGGGAGCGGTGCCCGGGGGCCGACGAGGGAGGGGCAGGGAAAAGGGAGGACCGAGCAGGAGGAGCAGGAGGAGGAGGAGGAGCAGAATGAGGAGGAGGGTCGAGGATAGAGGATCGAGGATCGAGGAGGAGGAGGAGAAGGAGGAGGATCGAGGATCGAGGAGGAGGAGGAGGAAGAGGAAGAGGAAGAGGAGGTCGTGGTGGTGGAGGGGTGAGCACAAAGCGTCATGTACATGAAATGCTCCTATGTCTGAGCCAATTCTGGACACGCAAAGTGTTCAGTCGGATCAGGCTCATGGACGAGGATAGGGAGGTGGGGAAGAGGAGGTAGGAGGAGGTAACGGAGCGGGAGAACGCCAACTGTACACCTACACCAGTCCTGGGCCCACATCCTGTGGCTTGCAAGGCTTCGCAGAGGGCTTACGAGGCTTCTCAGAAGGCGCGAGGGCTTCTGAGAAGCCCCGCGGCCTTCTGAGAAGGCCTGCCCCTGAGCTCGCCGCCGAGGTTCCACGGAGATCGCCGGGAAGCGCTGGCAGCCGAGAGCGCCGCTCGTGGCCAAGCTCCGAGCGCCGCGGGGCCCCCCCAGCGGGGCATCTTGTGGCGGGCTCCAGAAACCCAGAACCCCCAAAGAGCTTCCATTTCTTAGGGGCACATCTTTGAATCCCGCCGACTTCCGCCGAGGAAGAGACGTGAACTCCTTGGATCCTTTCTGCAGGGCGCCATGCGCGCCACCGGAGTCCCTTCAGGAGCGTTGGGCCGTGCCACCAGCGGGAGATCGGGATGCCAGCCAGCATTCACAAAGTTCACATCAATGCTCATCATCGCCGAACACGGAGCCTGATGCGTTGGGCTTCCAACCGAACAGCTCGCGGGATCGAGGGAAAGGCTGCGTCTGATAGGCGGCGTGCCCAGGGAGAAGGCAGATGGGGCGGGCCTTCTCAAACGGCTCAAAAGGCCTCTGGCCTTCGGAGAAGGTTTCCAAGCACTCTCCGAATCCCAGCCGCAATCTGAGAAAACGTGTCCCCTCTCATTTTCCCCCCTCGGCGCGCCGCCGATCCGAAGTGACCGATCACAACGTAGTAGATGCACGTGAGTGAAATGACCACCACTACGCATCAACACTGGAGCAGAATGGCAAATAATGATTCCAGCGTGGACCCACACGAGTGAATCGGTGCAACCGATGTGGCCAAACGCGGAAAGGCGCAAAGCAAAGCAACGCAAGTAATGCAAATAATGCAGAAATGAACGCAAAGCAACACAAAGCAATGCGATACGAAGTAGTGCAAAGCAGCGTAGGGCAATGCAAAGCAAGACACACACGTCCTTGTGGCACGTGGGCATCATATACGACTGAGGGGCAACGATAGGGGGGACCAGATCAAGGGGGGAAACATCGACCTGGAATGGGCGATACAACGCCAATAGATCGGGCGGTAGGCCCTCGGTGGCGAATCCGCATGTTCCTGGGCGGGAAAGGGCTATCGGGCCCCTATCGGCGATGATTGCCAAAGTGCGGCCAAGGACTTGAGCAGTACAGCAGTTCACATTCGTCACGACCGATTGCGAAGCATCGTCAAGAACGAAAGCCCGCGGATCGGCCAAACACGGCAGGTATTTCAAGCAACCTTTTGGGGGCAGAAGGTGGCTTGAAATACCTTGGGCCCTTGGGGGTCGATGCAACCCCTCCTGAGCTTATCCCCCTGATCGTTGCCGCTGGGCCTACGCCGCCACCTAAGGGCGGCACCTGTGCCCACAAGACATCCTCGGGCACGTGGGCACAACCTGTGTCGCAACCCATAGGCGCACCCCATGGCGCAACGCACGGGCGCAACCTGCGGACAAAAAAAATATCGTGGCAAGCAAAATTAGCGACGACGAGAAATGGGTCTTCCGCGAGATGGCATAACGACATTACGCGACGAGTTACGCGTGCCAGAAGCACGGCATGCTTCGTTGGAGGCAAGGGCGCTTACGCGCGACCTTACGCGGGAAGCTTGCGCGCGAATGTTCGCGCAGTCGACCCCGATTTCTTCCGTCGCTCAAGTAAACACCGCGGGTGGCAAAATACGATGCCCTTTCTTGAAAGCCTTGTTTTCCGTCTTGTCTGGCGCAGCCCCAATTAGTCTGACGTAGTCCGCCCCAGAATGTTGTAATCCGCCGATCCAGCGTGTGAGTTTCTGAGAGCGTGGGCTTGAGCTCGCTCAAGCTTCGCTCTGCGGAGGGGGGGGGACCTCATTTCCAACCTATTTCCGACCTATTGCTGACCTAATTCAGTGCTTCGCACCCCCCCCACTCCAGAGCGGACCCACCCCCCTGCAGAGCGCCCCCCCCCTCCCCCTCCTGCAGCCCAGCCCCCCCCCTGCAGAGCGGATCCCCCCCTGCAGAGCCCCCCTCCCATGCACCCCTCCCCCCCCCCTCCCCTGCACCCCCTCCCCTGCAGAGCAGACCCCCCCTCCTGCAGCCTCCCCCCCCCCTGCAGAGCGGACCCCCCCTCTCCCCTGCAGTCCCTCCCTCTGCCGAGCGGACCCCCCCCCCCTGCAGAGCAGACCCCCCCACTGCAACCCAGCTCCCCCCCCGTGGGGCCCGCCCCCCTGCAGAGCGTACCCCTCCCCCCCACCCCCTGCCCCCCCCCTGACAGAGCAGATTGAACAGACCCCTTCTGCGCCCCCCCCCCCCACCCCCCCCCACCTGCAGCGCGGATCCCCCTTTCCCGGGCAGGCCCCTCCCTTTGACGCTCGCCATCCCCCTGCAGAGCAGACACCCCCTCCTGCAACCCAAGCTCCCCCCCGTCGTCTTTTCTTCGTCGTCGTCGTCGTCGTCGTCGTCGTCGTCGTCGTCGTCGTCGTCGTCGTCGTCGTCGTCGTCGTCGTCGTCGTCTTCGTCGTCGTTCGTCGTCTCGTTCGTCGTCCGTCTCGTCGTCGTCGTCGGTCGGTCGTCGTCGTCGTCGTGTCGTCGTGTGTCGCGTCTTCGTCGTCGTCTCGTCGTCGTCGGTCGTCTTCGTCTGTCGTCGTCGTCGCGTCGTCGTCGTCGTCGTCGTCGTCGTCGTCGTTCTCCGTCGTCGTCGCGTCGTCGTCGTCGTTCGTCGTCTTCGTCGTCGTCGTCGTCGTCGTCGTCGTCGTCGTCGTCGTCTTCGTCGCCGTCGTCGTCGCCGTCGTTCTCGTCGTCGTCGTCGTCGTCGTCGTCTTCGTCGTCGTCGTCGTCGTCGTCGTCGTCGTCGTCGTCGTCGTCGCTCGCGTCATCGTCGTCGTCGTCGTCGCTCGCGTCGTCGTCGTCGTCGTCGTCGTCGCCGTCGTCGTCGTCGTCGTGGTCGTCGTCGTCGTCGCTCTCGTCGTCGTCGTCGTCGACGTATTCGTTTTCGACTTCCTCGTCGTCTCTTTATTTCCACAGGCACCCGGAGCGCCCCGGATCGGCGGCACTGGCCGGAGGCCACTACAATAATGCATTCACCTCCTTTGACGACGACGCCCTGACAGGGCCGCAGTGCGAAGGGCAAACAACGAAATTAACTGCTTCTCCTCCGCCATGTCGGGCGCGCCTCTGAACCTCCCGCGATCCTCCCCGCGTCCGCCATGAGACTGACGGAAATGAGATAACCGACAAGGCCATGGTCCGTGGTAAACCGCACCAAACCAAACTAAACCGCAAAAGGCCAGACTATCTCCAAGTCCAAACGAAGTGCAATCAATTAATTAACTTAATCCACTCCCAGACCAACTCCAAGCTCGCAGAAGCCCAGACTTCACCCCACCATACAAACTAAATCCAAAATATCTGGACTACACCAAATTGCACTGGACTGTACCAGACTAACTCGAACTGAACTAAAATCAACCCAACTAGACCAGACTACACCGTACTAAACCAAATGCAGCGGGGGAACAGAACGGACTACACCAGACTGCACACCACTACACCAAACGCAAGCCACGCTAGAACAGCAGATCGAGGTTCCCATGATTTGCCTCATTAAGAACCCGAGAGGACGAGCAAGCGACCTGCACGTTTCAAGAGGGGGGCCTGGAGGGTGCTCACGGTTGAAGCCTCTTTGTTCCGAGGCGCCCCCCCGGCCGCGAGGCGCGGTCAAGGGGAGGTGCCCGGGTGGCGCTCAAGATTGAAGCCTTTTTGTCCCGAGACGCCCCCCCCCCCGCCGCGAAACGCGGTCAATGGGAGGGGGCCTAAGGGCGCTCCGGGTTGAATTTTTGTTGTCCCGAGGCGCCCCCCCCGGCCGCGAGACGCGGTCAAGAGGAGGTGCCCGGGGAACGCTCAAGGTTGAGACCGTGGTGTCCTGGACGCCCCCCCCCCACCCGATGGGTTCGGTCAAGGGAAGAGGCGTCCGGGGAGTTCTATCCTGAGGTGCCCTTTCACAATGTATATCATGGCCAGCTCAATCAGTATACGCCTGCGTCGTTGTCTCGCCAACTTTTATACATGCATTCGGCTTTCTACATTTCCTTGTTGCATCTTAGTGTGCTCACTGCTGTCCGGCTTGCATTGTGAAAAAACAAGCGTTGGAGAAGCGAGATCCCCGCGGCGATTGTTCAGGTTGCCACCATGGTTTCGCTGACAGCCCTGGAAAACACACAGCAGTGCAGAGATGAAGTCAATTATCCCGGCAAAGCAACCTAACAGCGATGTGTAGGAGCATATCTGGAAGCATTCCCCTTGAGATTCGGATGAGAATCCAGTTGTAGAATTCTGCTGTTCTCGCAGTCGTAGTCGCATTCGCGATGACAGTCGCAGTGGCAACGGCAGTCGCAGTCACAGCCTCAGCCTCAGCCTGCCTCAGCCTCAGCCTCAGCCTGCCTCAGCCTCAGCCTGCCTCAGCCTCAGCCTCAGCCTGCTTCAGCCTCAGCCTCAGTCTGCCTTCAGCCTCGGCCTCAGCCTCAGCCTGCCTCAGCCTCAGCCTGCATCAGCCTCAGCCTCAGCCTCAGCCTGCCTCAGCATCAGCCTGCCTCAGCCTCAGCCTCAGCCTGCCTCAGCCTCAGCCTCAGCCTGCTTCAGCCTCAGCCTCAGTCTGCCTTCAGCCTCGGCCTCAGCCTCAGCCTGCCTCAGCCTCAGCCTGCATCAGCCTCAGCCTCAGCCTCAGCCTGCCTCAGCATCAGCCTGCCTCAGCCTCAGCCTCAGCCTGCCTCAGCCTCAGCCTCAGCCTGCTTCAGCCTCAGCCTCAGTCTGCCTTCAACCTCGGCCTCAGCCTCAGCCTGCCTCAGCCTCAGCCTGCATCAGCCTCAGCCTCAGCCTCAGCCTGCCTCAGCATCAGCCTGCCTCAGCCTCAGCCTCAGCCTGCCTCAGCCTCAGCCTCAGCCTGCTTCAGCCTCAGCCTCAGTCTGCCTTCAGCCTCGGCCTCAGCCTCAGCCTGCCTCAGCCTCAGCCTGCATCAGCCTCAGCCTCAGCCTCAGCCTGCCTCAGCATCAGCCTGCAGCCTCAGCCTCAGCCTGCCTCAAGCCTTGCCTTCAAGCCTCAGGAGCCTCAGCCTCAGCCTCAGCTTTGCTCCCGGGAATGCAATTTTGGGAACTCGAAGAACAAAGTGGAGTTCTGGGAACTCGAGGACCACGAAGTGGCCTACAGTTGGCTCCGGGCATTCAAAATCATGCCCAGGAATGGAGTTCTGGGAACTCGAAGACCACGAAGTGGCCTACAGTTGGCTCCGGGCATCCAAAATGTGGCCCGGGAATGGAGTTCTGGGAACTCGAAGAGCACGAAGTGGCCTACAGTTGGCTCCGGGCATCCAAAATGTGGCCCGGGAATGGAGTTCTGGGAAGTCGAAGAGCACGAAGTGGCCTACAGTTGGCTCCGGGCATTCAAAATGTGGCCCGGGAATGGAGTTCTGGGAGGTCGAAGAGCACGAAGTGTGTGACTGTTGGCTTAAAACGAGCCCGGCTCTGTTCCCGGTTCTTTTCCCCGGCACCCGCCCAGACCCCCCTGTGGAGTCATCAGATGCTCTCTTTTGAGTCCACTAGAAACCTATCAGCAAAAGCTGTTAGGTAAAAACTTGCGATCGGCCCAGACTCGCGGGGAGGGGGGAGGAGGGAGGAGGGAGGGGAGAAGGCCACATTGACAGTTCTGGCAAGATTTCTGTGTGCAAGGCCGTGGTGCCATGGGGAAGCAGTTCAAAAACCCAGCGTCAGCGTTAGTGCAGGTGCTTGTCGAGAAATACGGGAGGAGGAGGAGGAGGAGGAGGCGGAAAGGAAGAGATGAAGGATAAAGAGGAGAAGAGAGAAAGGAGGAAAGCCCCCCACGATTGTACATCACACCTGCGAGCAACATCAGACGGGCCTAGCAAGAGGCGGAAGAGCCAACAAGAGGAACAACACAAGGTAGAGCGGCAAAGATTAAGGCCAATCTATCAAATCAACGCAGTCCGACCGGCGCCCAGAGCGGACCAGCGGATGCTCGAAGGCGCCTCAGCGGCTGAGCGGAGGCCCACACGAAGGGCCAACTATGGTGTCAAAAGAATCCAATGCACGAACTCGGCCCGAGCATACTGATACCACACCCCGGCAGCGGGGGAGGGTAAGGGAGGGAAGGAGGGTCGGGGAGAAACAGCTAGGCCTACAGCAACGGCACCTCAGCCCACTATGGGACAAGACTTGGAGCTGTATCATTCGGAGGGAGCGAAGACGAGACAAGCAGAGGAGGCGGAGAGCCAACCCACCCCTGCAGGGCTAGCCGGCATTCCGCCCCCGGGAGGCGAGAGAGGGAGGAAAGAGACGAGAGGGGAAGGATACTCAGGCGGGTGCAGAACAATTCTGAACACTTTTTCGTTCCAAGCCCGCCCATCCGGTGAGGTTATCGGCCACACGGCTGGGACAAGAAACGGCCCCCGATGGATCCGAAATCGACATGCCGGCATCCCCCAATCGTCGCTGCCTCCGTCTGCAAACAGCGCTGACAAACAGCTGGACTCACACAACACCAAAACTGTCCCTCCTTGTCAGTTGCGGGAAGTTGTCGAGGTCCTTACCGGGGCATGTAAGCAGTTCGGTCGAGCTCAGAGGCACACTTGCACTATCAGAGTCCTTCGGATTCTGCGGGACGGTTTTTGAGGGCCCACTTGAATTCACAAATCGTTCACTTACAAATCGTTAGGCCCACTTGTACACACGCTGCCACCTGGAGGACAACGACGGTGAAGAGAAATAGCGAGGACGAGGAGAGGCTGGAGGGGGAGGCTCGAGCGGACGAGAGGAGGAGGCTTGAAGACAGTCCTAGAGCCTAGAGACGCGGGTCAGGAGGAGCAGAAGGAGCAGGTGGCAACAACGACAACGACGGGGATGATGTGAGGATGATGATGAGGACAATGAGGACGATGAGGAGGAGAGGGAGGAGGAGGAGACTGAGGAGGTCCCAGAGGGAATGAAGATGATGATGAGGAAGCGGAAGCAGAAAAGAAGGAGAGCGAGGATGTGCAATTGAAGGGGAAGCCCACTGAAGAATGCGGGGAAAAAGGGGGGACTGTCTGTGGTACGGCTTCCCTCCTTGGCCTTCAGAGGGTGACCTTGTCAATGTCGTAGCAATGTTCAGTATGCATGCGCATGTGAACATATGGGCAGCTGTGCTGTTGTCGAGAGCCAGGGCGAAATAGAACCAAAGCGCACGCGAAGACTAGAATGCAAGCGAGGACCGAGCGGAAGCCCTGGCTGCTCAGCGAAAAAAGTGCCTGCGGCTGCGCTTTGGCGGTTGCACCAGGCTCTCTTTGGTGAAGTTCTCGTGCAGCATGTCCTTTCGGGGGACGCCGACTGACCACCTCACCGATCCTGGCTGAGCCAGGATCGGCGAGGTGATCAGTTTCGGGAATTGCTAGAAGTGCCCCTGGCCCAAGCTGCCCCCAGGATTTCTAAGGAGGCCCCGACGGCCTCCAGAGAACCCCTCACGAGGCCCAGAGGGCCCCAGGGGCTCCAAAATGGAGCGAAAAGCCGGGGGTACCGTGGGCCAGGGGCACCTTTAGCAACCCCCGACAGTGGACGCCCACCGATCCTTCAGCTCCTCAGTAAGCGCCCCGTCGGTAATCTTGCGGGCGAACCAAAATGGGGACCTCACAAGCTCCTCGAAGCCAGCAGCGGGGACCCTGCGGTATATGACCGGGTGCTTGAAGTTGGCGGGCGTTTTCTCGCCAGAGCGGAGCTTGGGGCAGTTGCACCTGTCCGCGTTCACCGCCCACTCCTCCTTGCAGGCTTTCTCGCCGTCCTTCCAGTTAGAGAACATGATGCACTCCCTGTCGACGGCGGCCTTCCCGCCGTGCTCGCCCCAGCGCGCCAGGAGCGGGAAGTACCACGCCGTCTCCTCCTCGCAGTCGCGCCGAAAATGCTTGCGTGAGAACTCCTTGTTCTCGACGAAGAGCGCCGCATCCCCACGCCAGAGAACCGACCACGTTTCTGCACGGGGCCACGGCTTGCGCCAGTAGTCGTCCGAGCAGAAGCGCGAGAGGGGCTTGCTGGACAGCTCAGAGTAAATGAAGCTCAGCGGCTTCACTGGCACCGAGTCGCTGGAGACCATCAGGAAGTGCGTGTTCGCAGAGTCGGCCAAAGCCTTTTCGAGCAGCAGCATCTGGGCCTCCCACATTTGGCACCAGGTTGTGCGCACCTGCTGGTGAACGAGGTACCGGGCCAAAGAAGGGCTTCCCCTCCTCCTCCAGGTAGAATTCCCCCGGGGAGCCACTCCATACGCATGAATGTACATGGAGAAGTCGAGACCGGACTTGCCTGCTTGGTCAAGCCAGTAGATCCAGATGTGCTCGTTGTTTATGCGGTCGTTGGCGAACATCAGAAAGGCCGCCTTGACTTTCTGGCCTGCCTCGGCCTGCTCGCGCAGCGGCAGCTTGGCCCACTGCTCGGAGTCCTGGAGGGCCTGCATCTCCCTGGTCTTCGGCCTGTTGAATACGCCCGGATTGGCGCTTCCCGACGCCCTGCCATGGTCGCTGCTGTCGCCGTTGACTAAGCAATCCCCGAGCTGCGCATCGGCGCTCATCTGCCCCGCCAGCTTGGCCGCGGAGGACGCCGTGGCATTCTGGACAACCTCGCCCCGCTGGAGACTCATCGGGTCAACTGGCGGGCCGGAGGAGGGGCAAGAGGGAGGGAAAAGGGGCATGGAGGGAGATGGAGAGAGGGCTTCAGCGGGAGGGGACATGAGGAGGGGAGGAGGGGGATGGGGGGGGGGAATGGAGGTCTGAGCGGGTTCTCGGAGGTCAAGGGTGATGGGATGGGGGGTTAGGGATTCATCGCCTTGTACCCGCCTTGATGCCCAGAATGGCACGCCTGTTTTTTCTCTAAAGAGTGCTTGCGCCTAGAGAACCTTGCTTGTGGTCTAAGGAACTGGGCCTGGGTGGCTGTCTGTCGGTTATCTTGTCGACGTCGCCGCCCCGTCACCGCCCGTCGTCTGGGCTTGGGTGGCGGTGTGGCGGCTACGTTGTCGCCGCCGCCGCCCAGGCGCCGCCCCGCCGCCGCCCGCCGCCTGGGCCCAAGTGGAGGCCCAGCGGCCACGCCGCCGCCGCCGCCGCCCCGCCGCCGCCTCGCCGCCACCCGTCATCTGGGCCTGAATGGCAGCCTCGCGGCTATGTTGTCGCTGTCGCCGTCCCGTCGCCACCCGTCGCCGCCCCGTCACCGCCCGAAGACTGTACCACGTAGATTGCACAACCTATATTGTGCCACCCACATTCACAGCACGTATAGTCATTGCACAACACAGGTGGCACAACATAGATTGCACAACAGATATTGCACTGCAAATGCTGCACCACTAGATTGCACCATCGATGTTGCACAAGATATACTGCACAACATAGTTCGCACCGCATATGTTGCACAACCTATATTGCACCTACTCGATTGCACAACCTACACTGCACCACATGGATTGCACCGCATAGACTGCACAACATAGATTGCACCACACAGTCTGCACCACATAGAATGCACAACATGAATCGCACCACATAGATTGCACCACGTCGATTGCACCACATATATGGCGCACCACATCGATTGCACCACCTATATCGCACCACATCGATTGCGCCACATCGGCTTCACAACAGACATCGCACCATAACGTTTGCACCATATGCATACTAAATATTTAGTACACATAGCTTGCACCACCCACACATAGACTGCTCCACATGGGTTGCACAACATATATTGCTTGAGACACACGGTTTGGGGTCCACGCTGGCAAACATTTGTTCTACCCCTCGCCCACTGTCCCCTTTCAGGGCACGCACTGACTGCACTGTGGTAGCACGATCGCACGCTGACAGAATGCATTGTTGTTTGTCCGTCCTCTAGCTCAGGCTCAAGACGCGGCGCCTCCATTCAGTCAGCGCTAGGCCAGCGAAAGAAAAGGGTCGGCGACTCCGAGGGGTGTGGTTTGCAAAGGGTGGGGTATGCAAGCGGCACCCGGGGGGGCGGGCGGAGACCTCGAAAGAGTTCTCCGCCGCGTCGCTAGGAGGACCGACAAGGACAGCATCGTGCCCCCCGGGCACCAGCGGCGCCGATCGCAAACCACACCCCAGCGTCGCCATACCCTTTCTAATCGCCGACGGGGGAGGAAGCGGGAGAAGGAAGGGCCGCCTTTCCCACCCTCCCGAGGCGGAGGCGCAGAAGGGGCGGAGGGACAGAAACCGGTGACCATGACCAAGACTGAATGCGGAAAGGTCGGCGCCGTTCTCGGCATCGTCTTTCTTGGTCATCGTCAATTCGTGAATCGTCCTCACGAATCGGCGGCGGCCGGCATGGACCATGACCAAGATCGGTATCGACAAAATATCGCGACATCTCGGAGGCCGTCCCAGTCTAAGTGAGCCTGGTAGGTCACATTGCATCCAATTCCACGTCGGAGGAATACGATATGGGATGTGGAAAGGTAAGATAGGAGAAGATCGATGTATCGGTATTTCCAGCACATAGCGAATACCACGTCAGATATCCGGGCAAACAGGGCGCGCGTGCCTTGAGCCATAAGGCAGCGACGCGCAGGCTATACTGCCATTCACATCGATCAGCTCCCAAAGAGCTACCCTTAAAGTCGGGAGGGGAAGGAGACGGAGAGTAAAGCCGCGCAGTCGCTAGGCTCTCAGCAATCGCGCGACAGCTCGAAAGGAAAAACAATACTCGCAGTCTAGTTTACCACCAGACTGAAGGGCGATCCTATTCGCCGGCGAGTTACCTCGCAAAAGTTTTCCACGCGTTTGCAGAAACAGCCTCTGCAATGGCCAAGGGCTATCGGCCCGGGTAAAGGTTAGCCAAACAGGCTGTTCCCCTCCGGGCAAGAGGTATTAGGGCAAGAAGCCTAGACAGAACTGGAAATGCTCGTTGCCAAGCGTGAAAAATGGCATGGTTCGTTTCCGAGCGAGCTGGAAAGCGCCTACATAATAGGCGCCCGTGCTGGCAAGCTGGACCGCAGAGGCAACAAGGACAGACTAGAAACGATTCGGCTTCAGCTTTGTTTTGTCCTCAGGGCCCCGAAAGGGAACAAACTGCTTCACGTCATACTTAAACGGCTGAGTACCTGACATCACTTCCAAAAGCAGCTCCCGATCGATACTCCCCTTTGTGTGCCCGTCTGCGGTCATGTCCCTAGTGTCACACCACTGTACGTTATGCACTATACCTATTTCCATGAGCTCACGTATCCAACTGATATGTCCTAGCAGTGTGCGTTCTGTCGGTATATTGAGGTTTTTGCTAGATAATGACTTGTATACAGACTCAGCGTCTATCGTGAGGGACACTTCGATAGCTAGGCCTCCAACTCCACGCATATCCCGTAGTTGTCGTGGAGTAAGTGCCCCAGCCTTGAGCTCGTGGAGGGTGATGAGCGTGGGATAGCATTCATCAAGGTTGCGCGCAGCTGCGAGTGCCTCAGCGGCGTAGCTGGGCCTCACCTGCAGTCGGTGTGATTTGCATAGACCGTCGCAAAGGTGAACGACGGATTTGCCTTGGGGCAAGCTTCCTCGCCTTAGTACGTTAGCCCCACGGATGCCGTAGCCCTTGGTCTCGTCGCCCTCCTCCCCGGTGGGTTTCCGATACACCGAGTCACTATGCATGTCTACTTCATCAGTCAGCTTCATCCGAGGGAAGGCGATGCGTTTCGGGCTGCTGATCAGCTTTCGCGTCACAGCATTTAGTCGCATGACTTGTAGGTTGGCACGCTCTTGGATCTTCTGGAGCGACACCACGCGCACCATGAGCCAGACCTGAGTGGGGAGGGCATAGGCGAGAGCTCCTCGCAGGCTAACGAACATGTCGGTAATGAGCTTGGTAGCCTTAGCTTCGGCCGCTGCGCCTGTAAGTTCGGGATGTGTGATAGGACGTAGTTGTTTGATGTACTCGTCATGGTCCATGATCACACCCCCTTGTTCGTTCTTCGTGTAGCGGGCGGCGCAGTTAGTGCAAGAGTGTTTGTTGAGCTTGCACTTGCCAAACACCTTTTCAACACGTTGTACGTAATCATCTACGTTTTCTCTAAGCCTGTCATATCAATGTCGTCGACGTGTTTTGCTGTTAACAGATCCTGGCTGAATTCGAACTCAGGATCGCAATGGTCGGCGCAAGGCCTGTAGCTCGAATGGTCGCACGAAGCTTGAGAGAGAACGCTCTTGGGGCGTCTTTCAAACCGGTCCCTGGCTTCAGGCACCTGAGGCAATGTCGGCGTTCATCATAAGAGGAGAAGCCCGGAAGGGTGCGAAGCACCTGGGCACTTCCTGGTGGAAGTGCGAAGCAAACCATGCGAGTTTCCTTGCCGGTGGCGTGAGCAAGTTCCTCATATGTCAGGCCTTTGAGGACCGCTTTGTCAATGTCCATGGATGCTAAGATCCAGTCTGGACGACACGCCGCTTCACTTGCCAGAAGCCTCTGGGACTGTCGGCGAGCAATTCCCGAGAAGGTTTCCACATCGAAAGCTTCCGTGTCCATAAAAGGATTGTTTTGACATTCTCGGTGCCCACCTTCACAAACTTCCACTTGTATACGTATCTTGACGTCATCATGTTGGAAGCTTTTGATAGATCGTACATCTCAAAGCATTGGTTGTCGAGCCAGATCTTGAGTTCGGTGCGCAGGGCTTCGCTGACCTCTTTGGGATGTGCTGCTATGTCGGCTCTGGTGAGGAGGTCATCTTCCTAACTACTACAGCACGTTTAGCAGCCGATGATACGTACACTCTCATCGTTGTGACCATACTTGGTTCGAGCTGTGCAAGTTGGGCCTGATCCAGCACGACCTTTGCCATTTCTGGCGTAAATCACAATTCGGCGCATGGGCCATATTAGTCACTGTCAAGAAAGTAATCCTCGTCAGGTGTGGTCGAGCATAACGAGACACAGCAGAGCTCTTGTTGTTCAGGCTCGTTGCCGAGCGTCTCCGATACAGAAGTATCTCCCTCGTCCACTGATGCTGAGACCAAGACACATGGGTCGGGCAGCATAGTTGTCGGGACGCGGTACAGACATTCGTCGGCCACCGTCATGGGATGAAGGTCAATACACAGCTCATCCTAGCATTCCTCCATCATCATGGCCTCGAATGTCGTGTTCCTCGCTTCCCTCATAGAGTGTGGACAGGCGACCTTCACTTGGCGATGAAGCACCTGGGGTGTCTGGAGCAGGCCTGTCTCCAGGCTGGTCAGGTCTTTCAGACGTTGTCTCCAAGTGTTGATACTTGACTAGGTCGTCGTGGAATCCGAGGGAAGGAGCTTCTGACGTCAGGCACTGGATGAGTCTAGAGCGAGTGCTACCAGTGATTTGGGAGATGTCCAAGCCGGCGCCTACGAACTCGTAGTCGTGGAAGGCTGGGTTGACATCGTTGTCGTAGTGGATCAGTGTAGACCCTGTGTCGTACTTGACTGAAGGTAGGTTGAGCACGCTCTTGGCCAACCTCACAGCTACTACGCGCTCAACTCTGACATCGTTTCGCACGAGATACTGTAGTGCCAGGTGTACGCGCGGGTGAAACTTGCCGTCGTCGGAGAGGTGGAGGTTCCCCTTGTAGTCTGGGATATAGCCGAACACTTTGGCAGGTTTCCCTGCACCGAGGTGCGCCACGTACGTAAGGACAGTCTGCCTGGCCACGTTATCCATGCCAGGTTCCCTGGTGAGAAGGCATTCAATATATATATATATATATATATATATATATATATAGCGTGTGGCGAGCATCGGTGTACATTACAATCACCTCACGCGATCCTGCCTTGACGACTACGTGTCCACGTTCGGGCACGTTACGGATCACAGGGAACGGGCCGTTCCAGCCTCCATGATCGTCCTTAGTGGCCGTGGGTCGGTGATAGTCGACCAGGTCCCCAGCTGAATATAGGCGAGCACCATCCGGCGCCGTCGTGGCCCTGAGGGCACGGTTCGTCTTGGCTACCGCCGTGGCTTGAGTTATTGTTTCCAGGCTAACTTCCCCCACGCGACGCTCGCGTTCGTGGCCTGAAGTCTCGGGGCCCTTGGGAAAGTCAAGGGTGTCGAGGTCAGGAAAGAAAGAGGGTTGTCGCCCAGTGTGTGCTTGGCACGGCGATACTCCGTTGCAGAACGTTCAAGCGTTAGTGACGAAGATGCCTTCGGCTAGTACTCTGGTAAATACAATGGGGAAGTTGTGTCTGTTCAGCTCTTTCTCAATCATGTGGAGAGTGCCTCTGAGGATGCCGTTACGCGACTCAATCGAGGTCGCGCGTTGGCCAGGCGCTCGGATACGCAGTGTTGTACCCGTATTCGCCATCATGGCCTTGGCAGTTCCGTTGTTGAGGGCACCTTCTCCGTCCGAATAAAATACTTTGAAGGGTCCATGATAGGCGATCCAGCAATAGTGGCAGGCGTTGAGTATAGTCTCACGCTCTTTGTCGGGGACTTCTTGGACTGCTGCTAAGCGAATACATCGGTCCATAACATGGAATATGATCCGTTTTGTAAAACATGAGATCTACTTCGCCTTCGTCAAGCCAATTTCCAGGGGGGGTCACTGAAGGTAACGCGGAGTTGCCTGGGCGCTCCCAAGCTCTACATTCCCGACAAGTGTCGCAGACTTCCTTAATCATATTTAATCGAACATTGTCCAAACCCACCTTCTCTAGGATCAGCCTCATCTCGGGTTCCTTCGCATGATACCACCGTAGGTGCAGTTTGCGGAGTTCCTTCTTGATTACATGAGGCTCATAACTACGGAGGTTTTGCAGACTGTGTTGGATATCAAACCTCGTCCAGTCAGGCAGTCGTGGGGCCCCCGAGCCGATCGAGGCAAGAGGGTTCCTCGTGGCTCTCCGCAGTCGGTCTCCTTCGTCAACTGCATCTGGTGGTGAAAGTACACCTTGTAGGCGGCCACGGCGGGCCGCTACCTGTGGTGGTTCGCTCGAAGACGCGGAGGGCGTGTTTCCGCTCGGAGACGCGGAAGGCGTGTTTCCCCGCTCGGGCGCGTCTCGCAGTATATCATTACTGCTCGCACCTGATTTGGGATCGGTATTCCCAGGCGCGCGTGGTCGCGGCGGCCTGGCGCGGGCGCCCTGACGGCCACCCGATGCCGAGGCTTGACCCGCACCCGGCCTGGGCAAGGGATTCCACCAAGCTGGCACAGTGCGTCCCTCTGGGCCATGGTCATCTGGGAGTTTGAACGGCTCGGCAAAGCGGCATTTGCCGGGCTCGGTGTCGAGGTGGTTCTTAACACCCTTGCTTCTCGTGAGGTCCCTCTGGCATGCAGGACATGGCGAATATACAGAGATGGTGTCGTGATATTTACACTGTGTAGGATCCCTGTTGTGGCTAGGC